CCCTTTATGCTGGACCTTTATAACGTTATATTTAAATATATTACAGAGGAGTTCTTCTGCACGGTCGGCTGCCATCCCACCCGCTGCAGTGAGTTCGAGCAGAACGGAGAATCCCAGTACTTCTCAGGGCTGAGGGAGCTGGCGACGGCACACAGAGGAAAGGTGGTGGCCATCGGAGAGTGTGGACTAGGTGTGTTCTGTCAGAGGGGTTGCATCTGTACAGTAATTAAAACAAAAACTGAAATGAGTCACTTACAGCTCATTGCTTTTTCTCCATTGAATGTTGTCCTTACTCTATAGTCTATACGTATGGTATTTTTCAGCAATAAGAGAAGATGAAATAAGCCTTTATTGATCCCCAAGAGGGAAATGTGGGTGTTGCAGCAGCACAAACACATAGAAGTAAATACAGATAAATAAAGAAAAAGAGGTAAGAGGTAAAATATCCTAATACTAATAATAATATTAGTCAAAGTTAAAAGGCAAGCAATATACATACACCTTACCCTATATAGCAAGGTATAATATACTAAACACCATATATAGTGTAGCATAATAGAGGATCACACATGAGTTATGTTGCCTATATTTAGTATATTATGTTATTCAATATTGTATTTATATGTAAGAGTATTACCGTATATCAGTGTAAATATATGGACTATAAAATAAAAACATAGAAGCAGGAGAGAAGTGAGTGGGTCCTAACAATACGGATTTCCATTGTTTGGTGATTTGTTGTAATGTGTGTTTCTTCTTGTGTTCCAGATTTTGACAGGTTGGAATTTTGCCCCAAAGAAACTCAACTCAAGTAAGTTTATTTTTCTCTATTGAGTATTAAAAGCTGCTCTAATTGGCTGCACTTAATTGGCTTTTGACTAGTTGTCTCACCACTGGTTGTGTGAATGAGCTGTGAGCAGCCAAACCAGAGACTATTTCACCAAAAAGCAGGTCCTCTGAGGCATCTGAGGCTGCCCGAGCACAGAAACAAACCTGTAATAATCACGACCTGGGTGACCAGGGGGACGAGGCCATCCCTGAATACATGCTTAGGCAACCTCAGACGCCTCAGAACGCTGTGTTGTGTGTGTGTGTGTGGACCCTGTTGTACCTGATTCCAGCTCCAGCCTGTTAGAAATATATAAACAAGTAACTTTTCATTGCACATGAATATGTCGATTACTTGTTTGATAAATGGTTTAAAGGCGGGATAAGTGATTCTGGATTATACCACGACAAATACAGTGATATAGTGCAAACAACGACACAGCAGGTAATGTAACTAATGTGAGCCAGGTTGTGGGTTTGCAGACTGAGTGAGGCAGCGAGGACGAGGCGGTTTCCCAGAGCGAGCACAGCACATACTCACAACTCTCCTGCCACTATAGCTAACATCAGCAACAACAGCATAACCTGACAAACTAGAAAGTAAGCTGAACGTCTGTGGGAAAGTAGTTTAACGTAACCTGACACACAAACCCTGTCTGGAATAACAAGTTAGTGTTTGTCCACTTTGTTTGTTTCCCATTCACAGAGCCAGCGCTGTGTACAACCACAGGACCGTAAAGCTGGCAGACTGTGAGGAGATATTTGTTGAATTTGAAACAAAGTGAATTGGATTAGAATCGCACTACTTAGAATCACTTACCCCACCTTTAAGTTCTCAAAGCCCACACTGACACGTTCAAATGTCTTGTTTTCGTCAGACCAACAGTCCAAAACTCAAATATATTCAATTAGCAATAATATTGAATGAGAAAAGCAGAATCCTCTCACGTTGGAGAAGCTGGAACAAGTAAATGTTTTGTCTGTTTGTTTCATAAATGACACAAATGATGTCTCTTAATCTCAGCTGTTATCCATTATTGAGTACAATGAATCGCCTTCATTCGTCATTGTCTCTTTCTGCTCTGTAACAGATACTTTGAGAAGCAGTTCGACCTGGCAGAGGAGACCAAGCTGCCCATGTTCCTCCACTGCAGAAACTCCCATCAGGAGTTCATCGGTAGGTTTGTGCACCAGAGACCTGGTCTGCTGCGTGAGAGGGATTTGTTTTAGACAAAGCAGTTCACTGTTTCTTTGTCTCTGTTTCGACAGAAATCATGAAGAGAAACCGAGACCGATGTGTTGGAGGAGTGGTGAGGACGTTAGTTTTATATTATATGCTAGAATTAAAGTGTGCACTGTACACTCGTCTTCAAAGTTAACTGTTTGCTGGGAATTATTCGATGTGCAGTGTGCAGTTCAAAGATTGAACACAGAATTGAAAGGATTAGAGTTGGAGATGCTGATTTCCTTTTATTCTTTCTCTCAGGTCCACTCGTTTGACGGGACTGCGGAGGACGCCGCTGCGCTCATTGACCTGGACCTCTACATTGGAATAAATGGATGGTGAGAGGATTTTCCCCTGAACCTGAAGACTAAACCTGTCATTACAGGGCCGGGCGATCTGCCCAATAATAATACATCAATCTATTTAATTGCAATCACTATCCAGCCAGAAAATCTGGAGCCGACAGTCGACAGCAATGTCTGATCCATTTCTGATCAACCAGACAAGTTCTAACTGTTGTCTTGAAGCTTGTGAATCAATTTAGAGGAAAAATAAATCATACTTTCACTAATAGGGATGAGTGTGTACACCATTATCTGTATCTGATCAGCCAACTAAATTATCTATATTTTGTATCTCTTCTTGAAATGGACAGGACTTTTTTTTCTTTAATACAAGTTGGAGCTTAACTGATAAACAACTAAACCAAATGTAAACTTATTTCCTATAAAAAAAAACTCTCAAAATGATCTGTTCATACATGGAAAACATTACATCTGCAAGGCTAAACCAAAGATTTTGATTCTCAAAATACACAGTAATACCTAAACCTCAGGTCAGATTTATCAGAGTTGTGGTATAACGCTGTGGTTTTTAAACAAATTAAAGATCACTTCATTTTTTAAAGCTACACATGTTTCTATTTTTCAGTTCCTTGAAAACAGAGGCCAATATAGAAGCTATGAAGTCAATCCCAACCGAGAGGCTCATGATAGAAACCGGTGAGTTGCAGCCAGTTCATTGGATTAAAGAACGTATTTAACTAAATGTGGCCACTGAATGGTGAAAGAAAGACAAAAGAATGAACTTTGTTGTTGAAGCCAAATGTCTGATATTCCAGTTAAATAGCTCAAAAATGATTATTTTACAACATCAGATTTACTTTACTTTTGAAGCTGTATCACAGCTGTGAAACACTCAAACCCTTTATGGCTTCATCAATACACGATTTAAACAAAATCTTAAATGTTTTGTGCACCACATTGCTGTTGTTAGTGTGGTCATTAAACCTTTAAATCCCTTCCTGCTCCTTCCCAGATGCTCCGTGGTGTGGCGTGAAGAACACTCATGCAGGCTCCAAATACATTAAAACTACATTTCCCACGAAGAAGAAATGGGAGGCGGGGCACTGTCTGAAGGACAGGAACGAGCCCTGTCACATCGTGTGAGTAACGTCAGGATGAAGGTGGAGGGGAGGAGTCAGCAGTTTACAGGGCGGTTCCTTTGAGTTGATACATGGAGATTTATCGAACTGTTGGTTTACAATTTGAATGCACTGATTCAACATCCCTGTTGTGTGTATGTAGGTAGGCTATGTGAACCCAACACATGATGTCACAGATATCTGTGGCTCCAAATAAAGCCAGTAAGGAAGTAACAAAGGCTGCAGTTCCTGTAACGGCCACTGGAGGCTGGCTCCAGCAGTGAGTCAATCTCCATAAGGCCCCATATTAAAATGCAAACATGTTTTCTACACATTTAGAGCCTGATACAAAAACAGTCTTGGTCTCTGAAGCTAAATTCCCCCGATCATGACAACTGTATGGGGGTGAACTGAACTCAGCTCCACCACCACTCTCCACATATATGCCCGTTTTTGGATTAGCCAGGAGTGGACGGAGTGAGCACCCACCTACGTACCAGACACTAAACGAGTGGTTCAAAAGGATTTGTACGTTCATTTTCGGGCCATCACTGTTTCCAAGCAGGCAAATATCCACATTTTTCAATACATCAAGTACTACTTGATAAAAATGTAATGTCTAATGTAAAGCCTTCGCTGTTTGTCTCTTGCAGACAAGTTCTGGAGGTGATGGCCGCAGCGAGGGAGGAGGACCCGCTGGAGCTGGCCAACACGATCTACAACAACACCATCAAAGTCTTCTTCAGCTGCAGCTGATGATGAACCAGATTGGACCTTCATGAGATCGACTGATATGGCCTTATTTCACTGACGGAGGCTCCTTCACGAACGTGTGTGTCTGTATGTGCCTGTTTGACCTGCTTCTGAAATAAAAACATCATTTTTTATGGGTTTGTCTTTAATGCTGAAACAATTACTTCTGTTCAATGTAGATATAAATTAAGGTCCTTTTGGGTTTTTGAAATTCAGCCATGATTCACTTTCCCTATGAACAGTCAACACATTGACACTCATAATGTCCTAATCTTTTTGTTAAAGTAAATATGTTTGAATGTTGAATCACAGATGTGATTTTAGTACATTTATGTCTGTTTGTAAAATAATTTTGCCAAAACTTTATTAACCCAAATATACTGGAACTTCCCCATTGTGGGACAAATAAAGGAATATATTATCTGTGAAGATGAAACCATATCATCATCATTGTCTGTTTACATTCCCCCAGAGGCAAGTTCAAAAGATGCACTGTAGATGTTTTTACTTTATTGGTTTATTTTAATGTTATTCTATGAATTTGAGTACAGCAACTACAGAACTTGTAGATTAAACACCCTAACAGATTCAATATATTATTAGTGTTTATAAAAAATACAGATTATTATTACATTAAAAAAATAGATCATTTGCTTAAAGTTTTTTTTTTAAACTTTATCCAAAAAAATATAAACTCTTGCGAAAACGTGCTTACGTCAGCCGCCACACCCACTGACGCTGGAAGTCACGTCACGTCACGTCACGTCGGAACCAACAGCCTAGCAACTTGTGCGGTCTCTGCTCCTCCTGAAGCTCCCGCAGGTATCACGGCTGCTTGTCCTCCTGATAGTGGACCAGAGGACGGCTGCGGAGGACCCGGAGGTGTGACAGCCGCTGGAGGACAACACGTCCGGACGTTAAATCTGACACTGAGCGGATACAAGAAGGAGGAGAAGAAGGAGCAACAGGAGGTTGAGCCGGACGGACATGGCGGACGGCAGCAGGTTCCCAGCTCCCAGTTAAAGCCCAGGCAAAGCGAAACCAAAGGCCTGCTGGAGAGGAACACTTGTTTTAATGCTACATGGATAGCCGGGACTCCCCAGGACTGTAAAGCCCTCCGCTGTAGCCGCATGGCGTCCACTCAAGCCCGGCTGGGCCAGCAGGCCCTGGCGGTGCTGGACGTGGCTCTGCGAGTCCCCTGTATCTTTATTATCGACGCCATTTTTAATTCTTACTACGACCCCGGGTCGGGATGGGCCGGTGCCGTGGGGAAGGTGTTGGTCCGAGTCACCGGTAAGCATCTGATTGTGAAAGTGCGCAGGTCCGGTTACAGGAGCCTTTTTTTAAAAAAACGGTGTCGTCAACAACAACAACAACAACAACAACAACAACAACAAGAAGCCACTGACAGCTAACGCCAGCTAGCTGTTAGCTCCAGCTGACGTTGCCGATCAGCTGGAGTATCGATACAGGATCGATGCTCATGTAGTTGGTTCGTACTGTTTGATGCTGACACACGATCAGGTGTGTTACCGCGCAGGCCGCCGGGAGTCATACGGAAGCCGACAGAGTGGGGACAGAGCTGCCTGTCTCATTGTGCATCTTCTTATCCTCGAGAGGGGTTTATAGTGTGTGTGTGTGTGTGTGTGTGTGGGGGCGTGTGAGTGTTGGGGGGGAGTCTGTGTTCAGTTTAATGTTACAGGAGACTAAATGTGCAACGTTAGATCCATTAACTGTTTTAAATGTGCTTTAAAAGTGACGTAATATCCCTTTATGGTATTATGTGTGCATTACTTTATTGCACTGTGAGTTTATAATGTAATTGTAAGAGAGTCCTACACATTTTAAAAAGATGTTGCACGGTGACGTTGAACTTTAACCCATATTCACATGATGATTGCACGTTTATTTATGCTGTGACATTTAATTCAAATACGTAACTCTTGTTTGCGTCCGTGTTTCTTCTTCAGGCTCGTGAAAACACCTCGTGTGTATTTCTCCTGTGTCACGTGATTCATGAGAAACATTTTTGTAGTTTTGTTGCACTCTGCAGGCGTAGCTCAGTTCCTTAAAACTAGTCTACGTTAATCACTGCTGTTATTATTCTCCGAGTCATTAGCAGAAAACACTGAACACAAACAACCACCAGGTTGCATAACTCTCCCTTTGTAGACCTTTGAACAGCTCAGCTGAAAGTCCTCTGGGTGTTAGGCCACTGGCTCTGGGTTTTGGAGAGGCAGTGGGGACCAAATAAGGTGCCTTTTTAAAGTGGGTCAGGCAACAGTCTCATGTTTCTTCAACCCACTGTTCTTTATGTGTAGTACCAGCACATACACCCCCCCCTCCCCTCCCCTCCCCTCCCCAGGAGTGTTTACCTGAAAGAAAACGTAAAAACAAGACTTTATAAAAGCTCAAAGGTGATTTTAAAAGTTGAGTAGATTCAACAATTTAACAGCAGAGTTCAGTTTGGTCAATGAACTGTTTACAAAGCTGATCCAAGGTCAACACTGTCATTGACTAAAGCTTCTTAGTTACAGGTTGTTAGGGGGCCTAAGGTCAATGCAGTGCGAACAAGGGGTATGTAGAGTCAGGTGAACACATATAAAGACATAACTTGTTACAGCAGTAATATGAATGCTGTAAATAATAATAATAATAAGACATTAGCTTTACATAGCGCTTTAAAGGTCGTCATAGGCACTTTACATGGTAACAAAAAGACAATAACAGAAACAGCAAAGGCAGTGTCAGTAAATAAAAACAACTACTGTAAGAGCTATAAATAACCATAAACAGGAGAATCGAGGACCGGCTGACTGGTGCCGCTCCTCCACAGCCCGTCTGCATGTCGTATTGGTTGTGTAACAGCGCTCACTTATGTTGAAACGAACTCGTCATTAAGGTCGTACAAAACAAGAACGAGCACACACTTATAGCTGTACCACACTCGTAGCTTTATGCTACGCTGTCGTGTGTATCGTGCACAGCATTCCTTTCACATGAATGGCTCAGGTGTTCGTTTTATCCGTTTAGCTTTGTGTGCTTCCATTCCTCATCTCACGACAGGTCCTTTGTGCAGCCGCTAAAGCTCTCTGTCTGTCTTATGTGATTTGTTAGCGCGCACACACACACACCCACGACGATGACCTGCAACCCAGCGTCCGAGTTATTATGTCTTAAGAAATGTTTGACAGCTTGGTTTGATGAAATGTTTGCCTTGTTTTTCCCTGTTGCTTGTCCTGCCATTGACTTGTGAGGATTATAGCGCTGCAAGCTGATTGTTTCCCTCCTAATCTTGTTTGTGTTTTTGGGCACATTGTTTTTCAGAGAACCATGTTCGCATTCTTAACCTGAAAATCCACAACACTTAAAGTATATACACACGAAATCCACTGCTACTAGATTACTACTACAGCCCACCAGACTGAACCAGTAATTTGACCTCACAGATGATCCTAAAACACATTTTAAATCTCATATATACATCCTGTAGTGTTGTTGTTTTATCAGTAATCAAACTTACGAGCTACAGTCAGCAGCAGCATCATTTTGTGTTCCTCTGTTGTCTCTCGTGTGTCCCAGGTGTCCTCATCTCCAGCGTGGTGCTGCTGCTCTCCCAGAAAGCCTTGTTCAAGTTCTACACCCTCTTTTTTGCTGTTCTCCTGGGCATGGCGGCGGTCCTCTTCAACTACTACGCCACCTCCCACATAGACTTCTACAGCGCCTACTACAAAGCGGCCCTGGGGTTCAGGTTGCTGCCCAGAAACGGGCCGACGCTGTGGCTGGGGATGGCCGCGGTTCAGCTCGTTTTCGGCGTGGGCTACGTGTTCCTGCTCAACCTCCAGTCGGTGTTCGCCGCGCTTGTGGTCCTGGACATCATGATCCCTCTGTGGGGGCTGATGATCGAGCTGCCGGCGGACGTCAGGCAGCTGGTGGCCGTGTTCTCGGGCCTGGCGCTGGCTCTCAACACGGCTGTGTGTCTGGCCATGAGGCTCAAATGGTTTTACTACTCGTGCCGGTACGTGTACCTGCTCGTACGACACATGTACAGGATCTACGGGCTTCAACTGCTGCTAGAGGACACGTGGAAGAGGATCAGATTCCCTGACGTGCTGCGGGTGTTCTGGCTGACCCGGGTCACAGCCCAGGCGCTGATCCTGGTCTACGTGGTGCGGGCGGTGAGGAGGGAGAGCGGCGATGCCACAGGCGGTTCCGCAGATGGTAGCTCCGACTCGCAGGTAAGATCAGAAAGGTCCCGAAAAGCCTTGGAAGATATTAAGTCTAACATTTCATTTACAGTGATTTTATTGTTTTATTTGCCTGCTGTAGACAATAACAAGTTGTTGGGACTTAGATGGGATGTCATTTTTAATTTGTGAATCTAACCCTCAGTTTTCTGCTGCTTATCTGGGCCCAGGTCACATTGATCTTAGTAATGACATTACTAGAAATCCTTGTTATATGCAGCTCAGTACTGTCACACATGTGAAATAAATGTCACCAAATTCCTGTACTTAATTAATAATTGTAGGCTTTAACATCCCTCCTAGTCTGCATTCTGTGTGGTATTCAAAAGGTCTTAAAAAGCACTGACAAAGTATGAAGGAAGAAATGTGTGTGCACAGCAGCATAAGCTGCATAAAGCCCAACCGATGAATTACATCTCATTTACATCACAGATATATTATATCAGCGTGTGTTGGCTGATAAACAACAAGATGGGTCACTACAGAAGTGTCAGAGAAATGAAAAACAGTGTCTGATAAGCACAACAACTGTGTCTGTTATGTTTAGTCTGGTAGCAGTGGTGCGTTACACCCACAAATGTCTGACTGTTAAGAGTAAAGGGAGTTAGAAGTTATGTTGACGTGCGTTACTGTGTGACTGCACCGCTCTCAGGGTTACCTGCTGAGCTGGGACGTGTTCTGGGATCTGACGAGCAACCTGATCATCTCCGGCTGCGACTCCACGCTCACCGTCCTGGGGATGAGCGCCGTTATCTCCTCTGTCGCACACTACCTCGGCCTCAGCATCCTGGCCTTCATAGGTACGACTGAGCGTGGTGTACACACTTTTATCATCTGCCACACTGGTTATAAGTCCCTCCTGAAGTTTAGTCTTTTGTCTCATTTTGACCCTTCAGGTTCGACGGAGGAGGAGGACAAGCGTTTAGGCTTCGTGGCTCCTGTTCTGTTCTTCATCCTGGCTCTGCAGACCGGCCTCAGCAGCCTGGACCCTGAGGAACGCCTGGTACGTCACTGCGGGATGTTGAGGAAGCAGACAGCATGTTGATGCTGGATGTTCTCCGTGTTTTCATTGACTTTCCGTGTGACTGTCTCCACTTTGTCCTTCAAACCACCATCAACTGTGGCTTCTTAAAGCCTCTGATACCTGCTTTTAACACAGTATCCAACACAGTAACCCGGTGCACAGATGTATTGTTATTATTATTTGATTTAATTACCTCCAGTGTGTGTTGCTCTGGTTAATTCATACATTATTGAAGCCTTTCTTAATGACAGAAACTGCTTGCACTCTAGCAGAGGTAACGATCATTACACATCAGTGACTGAGAGCCTCTCTCGCTTTGATCTGAAGGTCCGTCTGAGCCGGAACATGTGCCTTCTGCTGACGGCCATCCTGCATTTCATCCACGGCATGACCGACCCCGTCCTGATGTCCCTAAGCGCCTCCCATGTCTCCTCTGTTCGCCGCCATTTCCCCGTCCTGCTGGTGTCCCTGGCGCTCTTCGCGCTCCCTGTGGTGCTCAGCTACGCCCTCTGGCATCACTACGCCCTCAACACCTGGCTCTTCGCCGTCACGGCCTTCTGCGTGGAGCTCTGCCTCAAGGTGAGGACGGAGAATTTACTGTTGGATCAGTTCGAAAAACTACTTCCTGTTAGGTCTCATCAATCTCTGTGTGTGTGTGTGTGTGTGTGTGTGTGTGTGTGTGTGTGTGTGTGTGTGTGTGTGTGTGTGTGTGTCTGTGTGTGTCTGTGTGTGTGTGTGTCCCTCTGAACTGTCTCTTTTCTTCTAAAGCTGAACGTTTTATCTCCCAGAATGCCTTTTGATGGGATACATCTGTATTAAATGTCTGTCAGGTGATGCAGCAGCTCTGTTACAGTCGTTACTGTGATCACTGTATTTAAAAGGCACCATGAACACAGCACAGCTCTCCAGTCTTTAGCTGACTCTAGCTGTCTGTCTTGCTGTAGCCACTGTAGCCATGACTTGCTATGCTAACATTTGCCAGTGGACCTAAAGAGCGCAGCTGGTTTTGTGGGTGTGAAGGCGTAACGTTCTCAGACTGACAAAGAGGAAGCTTCTTGTCTCACATTACGTTCTTCCTCACAGATCAACGTCAGCTCGGGCCGTGGTATTTGTTAGTGGTAGACTAGAGATGGTGTGCAGGAGGGTGAAGGGTGCTACTGCCAATATGCCAGAACTGTAAACTCTGTGACAGAATTAAAAATCAGACCTTCATCAGGTCATATTCATGAACCGAAACACCGTAGGAGAGTAAAAGAGACAGAGTGTGTAGGACATTGGGATTGTTTCACAACACCGGCGGTCCATGCTGGTTTTCCCGCGGTGCTGGTGGGGCAGCAGCTGCGTTCTGTGGCGAGTTGTTAGAAAATCAGAAGGCGCAGGTGTTTCAGTGTGCATCATACGCTACTGGAGTGCATTGCCCTTCATCATCTGCTCCTAATAATGTCTCAGAGGCTGCTGGTTGGTCTGGTTGTCCCCTGTACAGCACACAGTATTTGGTATCTAACTCGTTTCCCTCCCTCCCTCCAGGTGGTGGTGTCGCTGACGGTCTACGGCCTCTTCATGGCGGATGGCTTCTCCAACGTCCTGTGGGAGAAGCTGGACGACTACGTCTACTACGTGCGCTCCACAGGCAACATCATCGAGTTCCTGTTCGGCGTCATCATGTTCGGAAACGGCGCCTACACCATGATGTTCGAGTCGGGCAGCAAGATCCGCGCCTGCATGATGTGCCTGCACGCCTACTTCAACATCTACCTGCAGGCCAAGAACGGCTGGAAGACCTTCATCAACCGCCGCACGGCCGTCAAGAAGATCAACTCCCTGCCGGAGGTGCGCGGGGACCAGCTGAGGGACATCGAGGACGTGTGCGCCATCTGCTACCAGGAGTTTGCCACCTCGGCCCGCCTCACGCCCTGCAACCACTACTTCCACGCGCTGTGTCTGAGGAAGTGGCTCTACATCCAGGACACGTGTCCCATGTGCCATCAGAGAGTTTACGTGGAGGACGAGAGCCGAGACAGAGCCGCCTTTTCTAACAACAACGGGGGCTACGCAGCGCCGCAGGACGCCGCTGCCGCAGCCCCGCCGGCACCGGGGGAAGACGAGCACGGACAGCCAGACGCCGAGCTGCCGGCGGATGGAGCGGCAGCCGGCGTCCAGGCTGCGGGAGGAGCGGGGGAGCTCGACAACGAGCTGCTGGAGGACAACGACAGCATAGAGTATGACGAGGACGAGTGGGGGACTCAGAATGGCAGCACGCCAATAGAAGAAGACTACATCAATGATGACACAGACTCCACGGAGGACTGACGAGGAAAGATCTATAGAAAGAAATATACATATATCTTTATTATATTTAAGTTAAAAAGAATTCTAAAACTTCAGCAGCTTAATTTGTTCTTGAAAAATGTCAGGGATGTCATTCTGTTTTTTCTTGTTAGTTTCTTTTTGTTTGAGTTTGGGTTTTACTCTACAAGGGCTCGTGGAAAGAGAAACTGCTGCTCTCATTCTGTGTGTGTGTGTGTGTGTGTGTGTGTGTGTACGCGCGCTGGGGCTACATGATGTAGACCAAAAACTCATACTGGTGGTTTTTTTTCACTTTATCCCCAAACTAGTGGAGATCCTGATACAAATCTTGCTATGCGGGCACAGCTGCCTCGACACAGTTTATTTCCCAATGCCTCAGCTGATACACGTCAGTAAGTTGAACTAAATAATCTGCAGCGTATATCTTAACACATTCTGCCGGGTCTCGTATCTTGACACGAGCTGTAGAGACATTTTCCCCCCAGAGAAAGAGAAAAGAAAGGAACAGAAGCCACACTTCCGTTAGATCACAACTTTGTTTAGGTTTTGTCACTTATGCAGCCCAGACGTGTGTTTGTGTGCGTGTCTGCCGACATGTAATGTGCTTAGACGATGTCTTAAAGATGCAGTTTGTGTTCCCTAGCCGTGTATTATTGGGGAATCGTTGGAGTGTGAGTTCATTAACAACAAATCTGTGGCGCGACTAAACACTTTAAAGCTTCAATCGGTCTGTAAGTCAGGCTTTGGGAGTTTGTAGAAAGATGCGTTATGAGCACTGAAACACATTTTTGTACTCTTCCGTTTGAAACCTGCTGGCTCTACTTTCTCCAGCTTCCAAAAATGATCGGTTAACATGCTTCAGGGTCACGTCCCCATCAGTTACACTCACGATTCGGGCCTCGCTTGCTCTCTAAACCCGCCTCGACTGCTCCCACATCCTGACCGGCAGAGTGATCACAGCTCCGGTTTAACATTTTTGTCCTTAACGAACTTAAAAAACAGAATTTTTGTGAACTCGTCCAGAGTAAGAATGAAGGCAGGAGAATGAAGCTGTTTTCTATGGACTCTGCGCCAACCAGAGAAAAACAGAGAGGTGTGTCTGATTTAAAAAAAAAAACAACAAAAACAATAAAAAACAATGACTTGCTACTGTAATCACTGATATACCTCTATCATTACTTACTACTGGTCTCTTGTGTGACCTGCTTACATTTGTGTACGTTATTGTACATGTAATAAAACAAAAACGTGCACACATTGTCCCTTAGGATGAGAAAAGAGTTTGTTTTCAATAATTCTGCTTTCCACATTGATTCAGTATTTGGTTTGTTCCTGACCCAGATCTTGTTGTTTGTAATAAGAGCACTGGTATGGCATCGCAGTGTACGCCACATTTGAAGAGCTCTATTCCAAAAAAAAGTGAAAATGTATTGGGTAAGATGATTATTGCTTGATGCTCATAAAAGTACAGTATGAAAAGGTGCCACTTGTTTCGTCTACCAGGTACTTTCACTTCTTTCAAAAGGAAAAAGAAAAGTACCATCATTTGTTTTACATGTCGGTTATTAGTCATGTTGTAAGAGCGGATGTCCTTTCTGTCCTCGGGAGGGTGGTCATAGCATTGAGTCAATGCACTTTTTCTGTTTGTAATCACTGGCACAGACAGGAGCTCTTTTCGTTCTGTCCAACTCACCGTGACGACTGCACCTTTCCGAAGGCTCAAACTGTGCTTCTAGTCTCAGGGTCCCACTGCGCGGCTGGAAGACTATTTTCAATATATTGAGGAATTTCCAGGCCAAAAAAAAAAAAAAAAAAAAAAAAATCCCAAGGAGCTGCAGAAAAGTCTGGAAAAGTACAGGTGTGTTTTTTTTTTTTGTTGCAGTAGAATTGTGACTGTCTGAAGTTGGAAAGACATTTCAATCTGTGATATTTGTCATAATGTTGAGCTACACGAAGCAGTTTCTGGGTTCAGTTTGTGCAGCAGCGAGACGTCCTGCTGAACATCGATCCAAAACCTTTTTACTACTGGCACGAAGGAAAGGCCCGGAAAATATTTAGGGGCCACGTTTTCACCTTATTTGACAGTACAGCCCGGCCAATACAGTGACTCAGTGACTACAGAGATCTTCATTAAGAATTTGTATTAAAAAGCTTTCAAGCACAACTCCTGCGAGTATTGCATTGTTTAGACTTCCACAGCCTGAACGTCTTAAGGGTTTGACTACAAACTCACGCTCATTACTGTTGTAATTGCTGGTTGCTGCGAGGAATCCATTGAGTTCTTGTTGATAATGAGAAAAAAAGATGGGGTCTAATTTGATAAGAAAGCTGTGCTTTTTGACATGTTTCAGCTATGAAGGACTTTGATTATTAGTTTGATTGTTCTGAAAGCTTTTTAAAAGGTAAAAGCTGTTCATTTTGCCTTTTGTTTTAAAAAGAGATTTATGTAAATAAAATCATCTTTGATATTGCCTTCGGACTGTATCTCATATCATTAACACCACCTTTAACTCCCACATAAAGCAGACCTCTAGGACCGCCTTCTTTCATCTACGTAATATTAGAAAAATTAGACACATCCTATCACAGACAGATGCAGAAAAACTAATCCATGCATTTGTTACTTCAAGGCTGGATTACTGCAACTCTTTATTATCAGGTTGCCCCAATAAGTCCATTAAAACGCTCCAATTAATTCAGAACGCTGCAGCACGAGTACTGACAGGAACTAGAAAAAGAGATCACATCTCTCCTGTACTAGCTTCTCTGCATTGGCTCCCTGTAAAATGTAGAATTGAATTTAAAATCCTCCTCGTCACCTATAAAGCTCTTCATTCTCAGGCCCCTTCATATCTTAAAGAGCTCATAGTACCCTATTACCCCTCTAGAACACTACGTTATCTGAATGCTGGGCTACTTGTGGTTCCTATAGTCTCTAAAAGTAGAACAGGAGCCAGAGCCTTCAGTTACCAAGCTCCTCTCCTGTGGAACCAGCTTCCAGTTGTGGTTCGGGAGGCAGACACCCTCACCACATTCAAGAGTAGGCTTAAGACGTTCCTCTTTGATAAAGCTTATAGTTAGGGCTGGATCAGGTGAGTCCTGAACCATCCCTTAGTTATGCTGCTATAGGCCTAGACTATCGGGGGATTTCCCATGGTGCACTGAGCTCCTCCCTTCCTCTCTCTTTCTGCACTCATTCATGTCCCATTAATGCATGTTACTAACTCCACTTCTTCCCCGGAGTTCATGTGCTTTCTCGTCTCGCAGGTTCTCATGGATCCTGGTGGAGCCTCCTGCCATGGTCCTGCTTGACTGCCATTGTCAATACTGTTGTTGCTGTGCACCTGTCTGTCTCTCGCTCTCTCTCTCTCTGCCTCTCTCTCTCTCTCACCCCAACTGGTTGAGACAGACGACCACCCACCTAGAGCCGGAGGATCTGTCCTAGGTTTCTGCCTTTTAACAGGCAGTTTTTCCTTGCCCTTGTCTCCAAGTGCTTGCTCATGATGGTACTGTTGGGTCTCTGTAATTAATGTCATAAAGAGTTCGGTCTAGACCTGCTCTATTTGAAAAGTGTCCTGAGATAACTTCTGTTATGAATTGGCGCTATACAAATAAAATTGAATTGAATTGAATTTAAATGAACCTTGTAAAGTACATGTTTGGCACACAGAGATAGCAGTGAAGACCATGAACTGTGGCCGTCAGTGTGTAGAGATGCAGGTGACTCACGGGGCCAGTAGATGGTGCTATTTCATTATCTTGTGTTCATCTCTCAGTTCATACATTTTAAATTAGTTTGTAGTTTTGGGGGACAGTTTTTGAATTCCCATGAAAGCAGTAAAAAGCTGATGCTCTGCTAAATTTAAGTCCGCCTCCACAGCAATACAGTTTTTAAATGGTTTCTCATAAAATTGCAGCCTTCTCCCAACAAACAAGATCTATTGAGTAGTTACCTACATGACTGTGGTAACACCTGTGTGTTAAACCGGCAGTATAAGAGCTAATTCAGCTGTTTAAAGGTCCAGTGTGTGGCATTAAGGAGGATCTATGGGCAGAAGTGGAATATAATATTCATAGGTATGTTCCCATAAGTGTTTAAGAACCTGAAAATAATATATTGTGTTTTTGTTACCTTAGAATGAGCTGTTTTTATCTACAGAGGGAGTGGGTCCTCTTCTGTGGAGTCTGCCATGTTGAACCATCATGTTTCCACAGTGGCCCAGAACAGACCAACCAAACACTGGCTCCAGACAGCCTGGGTTTTCCTACACACTTGGAAGGCTCAGCTGTTTGCTATTGGATGCTACTAAACCCTACACACTGGTCATTCAACAGTAGAAGACAGACACATTGCAAGTAGGCGTAGTAGGGAGGCCTTGAGATGAGTTGCACTTTTAGGCATTTAGCTTTGTCATGGCTTACATTGTGAAAGGATTCCCTGCACACCACAAGTGTGTGTTTAGCTGGTTAGACTCCTGCAGATGGGTGCGGCTTGGTTGGGGGGTTATGTGCTGTGATATGTGATTTTGGGTGGTCCCAGATGAAAGTAAAGAATAATTAGAGAAACGTGGGAAAAAAAATCTGTGGTTGTCAACCAAAACATCGAGTCCAGATCAAACTGTGAGACACTGACGGCTGGTTTAGAGCTCTGGACACTAAAGACAGGCTGTGTCACAGTTCTGACCGATACTGTGAGTGCACACACATACATATAATCATATAATCACACTGGCATGTATTTATGTACACTAAGCGTGCCAGCTTGATGACCAAAGCTTCTGTAATGCTGTATTTTGACAACATGAGAACACGAGAATGGCACAGATGGATCATGTGAACGTGTCTCAGTGATGCAACAGGCATTCATCACACAATACTGTTGTTTCACTTACAAGTGTGGATAGTTTATTATAAGACAGTGGAGCCCCGGGCATAGACACGTAACTCAACAACTCTGAAAGTGACCGTTCAGTAGCATATACAGGTGAAGCCAAACTCTCAGGTGCAGGTTAAAAAGCGTCAGTATTTTGGAGGGGAAGGAAGGCTGCCTGGCGTCTGTCCAAAGCCGCCTCTGCACAGATATACAAAAATATTTTAGGAATCCATCAAAGGAAATCAGGGATGCAGCTAATATTTTATTTAAAGCACATATTGTCAGACTGTTTTGCTCCACTAATTCTGCTGCATTTTAATTTAATATGAAGGAGGAAAAATAAGAAAAACTAAATACTGGATTGGATTTGGTTGACTCCCCTGATATACATATATATTAAGAAAGAATCTGATTTGGATGAAGAGCAAAAAAAACTAAACAAAAAAAAATAAATAAATCAGGACATGACTACTTTCCCACAACAAATGTTAAATACAGAAGCTCTTTATGAAAGGGCCCATAGGATGTCCCTTATAGGCTTCCATCCACACCTACAGATAGACAGACTGGTAGCCAGGTACATTTAAATACAATAAATAAAATACAATACAATACAATACAGGTGAGTCATTCTCCTGACTTCAGTAAAGAAAAGTTTCCCTTCTTTTGTATCCTGTACTCACTTTGTGTCAGTGAATTTTAGTATGAAAAATAAAAATAAAAAGTACGACCGGAAGCAGCGCGTTTTATTTTGAAATCTGCCACCGGAAGTGTAGTTTTTAATTCCGACCGACTTGACACACCGCTGTAGTTCTTGTTCGGCTTTAGCTTGAACTTCATGTGCCAAACTCCTGACAGCCCGAGTCTCAGGAGATCATGAGACGGTTCGGGGCGGCGGACGGCACGAACAGAAGATATGAGCGGCTGCTGGAAAGTTAACCCGAGTTTCCGAGAGGCGGCCATTAAAAGCCGTCGCTTTCTTCTCTGGTGAGGTCGAATCGAGCTAATAGGAACCGAGCGAGCGACAACTTCTAACCCGAGCCAGTCGGACCTGGAGCGGGGAGACGACGACGGAGAGAAGCGTTTAAAAACAACCCTTTTTACATTTTACAGACTTCTTCTTTATTTCCAGCCACAATGCTGAAGCTTTGCCTACAGAGAGCTCTTCTACCGGCTGTACAGAAGTTACCGTCGGCACCGGGACCGGCACCGGGACCGGCGGCGGCGGCGGTGATAGCGGCGAGGCTGCCGGGGATAGGGCGACACACACCGAGCTGCTCTCTGGGAACACACGGGAGGAACGAGCCGAGGGAGCCGCTCAACTCCCCCAAGAGAGCCAAAGAGTTCATCTACCGCCTCCAGTCGAAGGAGAGGAGCTGTTTACTGAAGGAGCTGCAGAGCTTCGAGTCCATAGCCATCGCTCAAGGTAAGGGAGAGGGAGGACCAGGGCAGGTCAAAGGTCACAGCTCCTGAAGGCCCCGCTGAGATTGAATGGGAGGTAACAGGGAGGAGAGATGTTCCGAGGTTTACCTGCACTCATATACTCATATTTATTTCATAGTGTAAACTGTTTTAAAGGAGTTTGCTAAGTCATGAGCGTCTACCTCACCTGGCAGGTGAGTTTTATCCACCTGGGGGAGGAGGAGGAGGAGGAGGAGGGAGGGCGGGGTGCAGATGGGTGGAGACTGCAGACAGTTGGTCCTCAAAGACACATGATGGGCCACACCTGCCACAGGTGAGCCAAGCGTTGCTGATTAGCTGACTGGTTTGAATTAGGAGATGCTCTGCGTAATAAATAAATAAATAAATAAATAAATAGGGTAAACACAGGTGTTTCCAATGATACTAATTAAGGCTGTGTTTACCTTATTTCATGTCAAAATTGCTGCTGTGAAAAAGGTATATTCTGTTGGAACGTAATGTGAAGGTGACAAAGGTTTTTAGTTTTTAACCAGAGCAAACAAATACAACGAGGATGAAGTTTGTTTTCACAGAATAAAGCTCCTTCCTCCTTTTTACCAGCTGCAGCAAAGGTCTTAAAAGCTGAAGGTCGTCGTGTAACAGAGGAGTGACCAGCATTGTTTTAGGTCTTACACACCCTCTGCTGAATGGAAGTTTAACTGATTCCACCTTTTAATTGAAATAATCAATACTGGCACATAAAAAAAAACCACATTTTAAACCTTGTGTGTGTGTGTGTGTGTGCTGTCAGTGGGTGTGAACAGGCAGGCGAGTGTGTAGCGTGTGTGTGTGTGTGTGTGTGTGTATTTCCTCTTTGAGTCACCAGACAGTATTTTCTGGTAGCTTGATGAATAGCCTCAACATGAACGAAACCAGAGTGACTCATCGTAGGACTGAAATAGTCAAATCAGCTGCAGAATGAGGAGGAGAAAAGATCTGAGTAATGTCCTCAGAGCGTCTTCGGGAGGGGACTCTCCGATTCCTGCAAGGCCCTGGGACTTCAGGAAAACACCAAGTTTTTTCATTACGAGAATAAAGTCGTAATATTATGTGTCTGCTCATACTGTCGGCGCAGCCAGCAAAACTGTTTAACGGTGAAATGATCAATACGTTAGTTTACCTGTTGACTGTACGGTACGACTGAGACAAACTGATCTCGTCAGATCTTGATAACTCTAAGCTTTTTTCTCATTAAAACGACTTATTATTTTATTATTATTATTATTATTATTATTATTATTACATTATTCTTGTAATATTACGACTTTATTCTCGTAATTTCCAAAATTGTATGTATTTATTTATTTATTTATGTATTTTTCCTGTTAGTATGGCCCTAATACTCCGTCGTAGTAAATGAACAGTTTCAGACTTGAGAATGTTTCCTGCTTGGACTGTGTTAGTCCACAGACGTGTTGGATGTCACTTTCACTTCACACACTGCAGTACACGGAGCGCTGTCGGCTCACCAGGTGCTCTGCATCCTCAATGTGTCTCTCACGGTGCGTCTACTGTCCCCTCGTCTCTGCAGTATCCCACCGCCACCCTCCTCCTCCTCCTCCTCCTCCTCCTCCTCCTTGTCAATACGGTCAGATAATGCTGAAATGGGAAAATGTGTGCTGCCAAGATTTCAGAGAGTTTCAGTTGTGCCTTCAGAGCAGCTCCTCATCACTTTGTTGTGTAACACATTGTTCTCATTAGCGCACTTCACCCAATCTGCTTTTTTTGGGGGGCGTATTACATAAGATGGTGTGTAAGCTGATTTTTAGGAAATTGTTTCCCTTTTCTGGCTGCTAATCTTTCCGCCTACCATGCAACAGCCTTTTATTCAGCTTTTAATACACTAAAACGGATTCAGGGATTGTATTTGCAGCACTGCAGAACTGCTTTTTCTGTAGATTTGCAAAAAAAAACCAAACAAGAATCTGCCAGAGACCCAGCTTTGAGTCCACACCCAGTCACTGGCAAACATTTCTGTAGAGAGACTTTTGTGTAAGAGGTTTTATGTAGGTGTCTTCCACTGTCTCTGCACAGGTATAGGAGGTTTGACACAGCCCTGAAACCTGATTGATTCATTCAAAATCTTTATTCTTAAAGTATCTCCTCAAACCAGGACCATTCGATGGAAACAATCAGATGAAAAGACAACAGACATTTGGGCTGATGTTCTGTCTGTCGGCTGTGAAGGCTTGAGTAAGGCTCTCCTCCTCAGCAGTGCCGGTGAGCTGCTGTGGGAAGTGACAGATAACAATCCCAGGGAGTGTCCAGACTGTTTGAGCCCCCGGAAAGCTTTAAAGGTCACAGAAATGTGTTCATGTTTTATCCTGTAAAAACAGTTAATATTGAGTTTTGAGCTCCTCTTGAGAGAGTTTGACCCAAACAACTAATCTCCTCTCTCTATTAAAAGGTTGCTTCACACTTTCATTTAGTAAACTCATTTTCTTCATAGGCCTTCGTGATCCCTACATTTATTGTGATTGGAAGCTCAGGGAACAAATTAAAGAGGCAGTCGGATAATTATATTGTTGAGACTGTTTTTGTTGCTGTTCCTGTGGTTTCAAATGTGCAATTTCAACAATTTATTCTCAAGAAAATGCTAAATATGAATTTATACATTGCATAATTACACAATTGTTTAGTCTTCATCCTCCCTGGTCGCAGTCTTGGTGAGTCATGGGATGTTCAAAGCAGCTACAGGTTTAAAGAAACTTGAACACACACTGGGTATGTTTTCATGCACTCATGTAACCCAGTGATTGTCTGTTTCGTGCAGCAATAAAAAACGTTTTCTAATCAGCCTGATGGATTAAGTGCACTGTCTCACTGTCAGTTTTGTCAGAATCTGGGGGTGGTTTGCCTTTAAATGAGGTTTAAATGAGGCTTTCTGGAACCCAGGTGTTGACCAAGAACCTGTATCCAAGTTAATCCAGATGCTCTGAGATCGACTGCAGTCCAACTGTGGTACACTTCATGTGCAAGACACGATCCATACATTGTTAGTTGCAAAAACTGAGATAAAATCTCTCACTAATGCATGAGAAGAGAGTCACTTTGAAGCCAAACTCGCTGCCACACAATGTTTTCTGCAACATTAGTGGATGAGAAGCGTTTTACTTTTGCAGATTATGTGTGTGGTCACTCCGTCAGTTGTTGCTCAAAGACTTTGTGAATCAAAGTAGACAGAACCAGGTTATTGTTGTGCATGTCACCACTTTCTCCCATGTCCAACTTTCACTTGATTTCTCACAATAGTTGTGTTTACATACACACAAGAAACTTAGTCAAAAGTAAGTAAAACTATTTGGTAAAGTGTATTTTTAAGTGCAGTTCACTTTTATAATAAGCATGAGTTGGTCTTCACTAATAAGCAACTGTCTGGAAGCCCCTTTACTTTCACTACTAATGAGCTAAATGCCACTGAAGAACAGTTAGGGAATGGGAAGCGTTCACTGCAGAGCGGTGAAACATTTTCAGTCCAGTGAGTCGGTCTGACGGCGAGCTGAGCTGCACGCTCATTAAAACATCTACATTTTAAGACATTTAGCTGACGCTTTACCTCGAGGCTCATTATGACCTTAAAGTAGAGAGAATGTGAGATTGTATGACATGTTGTAAAGGGCTTTGTCACAGCACATATTTTGACTCGTCAAGCCCAGGTGTAATGTTAATAAAGACTGTGTTCTTTAGACTGTGGTATTTATGCAGGCTGACTCACTGGCATGGTGACATTCCTAACTGGATTGGACTCTCCGTTATTGTGAGCAATTCCTGTACAGAAATGCCAAAGATATGTTTGAGGTAGTTTATAAACTGTGGGTCGTCCACTAATCAGAAGGTTGGTGGTTCGAGCCCCGGCTCCTCCCGCTGCATGTCAACGTGTCCTTGTGCTCCGAATGCTGTGTATGAATGTGTATGGATGACTTGGTTTCTGTTAGTGATGCCCTCTACCATCAGTGTGTGAATGTGTGACTGTGGCATGTAATCTAAAGTGCTTTTTGTGGTCAGAAGACTAGAAAAGTGTTATATAAGTCGAATGCATTTACATTCTTTTTCGGAGCATCCTTACTTTTAGTTTGTTGCATTGAATCCGATGCATCCTGGAAAACTGGGCCTCGTCATGCTGCACAAGAAATGACATGAATGGAGACTCACTGACACCAACAATGAGCATAATGAGTTCAGATCCAACAGAGAGGTGAACATAATATACCTGAGAGGAGGTTAGATTAAACAACAGCAGCTTAATCACATTGAGAGTGTATCATTAACACTCCCCTGTCAACACTCGGTAAGTTCTCAGAAATCCTGTAAGACAGCAGCATTGAGCGCTGACAGTTTGTTTACTCGCCACAGTAATTTGTCTAAAATGTCACGCTGCTAAATACATTGTTCTCACTAATGATGCTCCAGAGATCTGCTTGGTTTTCGTATAATTGAATCGGGTATTGATGCTGTCGTCATGTTGTGACAAGTGAGAAGGAGGGTGGATTAAGATCTCCAGTTAGTAAAAAAACCACCAGGGAAGATGTATTTGTGACTGGCATTCATACATCCATCCTGTCTTCTCTTGGAAAGACTGTTTCATGTGTCTGATGGAGGAAGCAGATGTAATGTGACACATTTAAAAGTCTCCTGTCACACTGTTCAACCTGCATTAGTTTAACACAAAGATTAGTCTATTAAGAAGTCTAAGATGATCAGACGACAGTTGTTGCTATTGGAGTTCCTATGAGCAAGGCACTGGAGCCTCTGTTGCTACAAGCTGAGCTGCTCATTGGCTGAAGCTCAGTGATGTCGATAGGTCTGCCCCCCCGTCAGTCGAGAAGTTTGTCAGTCTAGTCTCTGTACATTTGTTTTTTAGCTGCGTCATTGTGCAAGCGCGACTGCGTGGTAAGCTGTAAACGTTAGAAACCGAACCACAAAATGACCACAAATGACAAAACTAACAGAGAGAGGAGGAGAAGA